ACAATTATAATTTAAGAACACATTTATAAAACAACAAACTTATAGGTATTTCATGATCAATTAGAGGAATTCAATTGACCTTGGTGGTGTTCACAGTCCAGCTACAAATCTCTGATAAGCACTGAGTGTCTACACCTTAAGGCACTCCAGGGTAATCCAGGATACCACTAACTATGTACATTCTGTAAGACCCACTCCCCTTGTTCCCTCAATGTTTCTATATTACGATAAACCATTCCTTTGTTTCAACAAATCTGTTCAAGATTAGCCAAGCTGTCAATATATGACTCAATGCATATAACCCATTATATAATGTTTTGTCACTTTATACCTTCCATTTCTAAATTCTTTATAAACTAAGCTCTCTGTAACTTCAGTGCTGTTGCCTTTGTGGAATTATCCCTCAATAGTCTGCCAACATAAAGATTAAACACTACCTTCTTATCTCCTTGGTGCAGCCTTCCTTTCAGTTTGGTTTGGCTTGGGAATTTTTCTGCAACAATTGGAAGATTCCAGGCCACCTTTATAGCAACTATACACAACAGCCAGTCAGGCCTAGAACAGCAGAGCAGAAGGCTCTGAGAAGGAACACAAACCTGACAGATAAGGGATTTCAACAGACTCAATGGTGATGATCACTATTCTCCTAGAAGATAAGGATGACCCAGAGACTGGTACATAGAACCAAGCAAATGAGCATAGGGAAGATTAACTCCAGGACAAACAGAAATGCAAAAAAATGTAATGGCCTAAATAATGCATGACATTACAGCATTTGTAAAAATGCAAATAATATGACCCTTCTTCCACTTCTGTACAGAAGCCCCAGGAGGGCTTTGGAGGACCACCTGGACAGCTTTCCTTGAAACAAGAGCATTTGGCCCTACCTCCCTATATTGACATGTTCAGAGCTGACAAGGATATTTTCTTGGGGCTAGCTGGGGTGCTGTGTATATTCTTTGAAGCAGTGTGACAGGTCAGTGATGGCCCACCTACAGCTCCCAAGTAATATGTCTGAGCTAGGATAAACAAATGATGCCACACTGTCAGCTGAGAATGAGCCTTGAGAAAAGAGAATAAACTTTTCAGGGCATGGATTACACATCAGAACTGAAGCACTGATTCCAAAACACTAGATACTGTCCTAATGTGTCATAAGCACATTATTCTCTCTCTCTCTCTCTCTCTCTCTCTCTCTCTCTCTCTCTCTCTCTCTCTGCATATTACAGAGGTGATTTCAGGTCTCCTACCTAGCCCAGCTGACAGCACTCACTCACTTTCGGCCACTCAGTCATTCATTCATGAGCCACTCCCCTCTTCATGAATAAATAAAACTCAGGCTTGGCTCTAAACTGAGGTCTTTATTCCAGTTAGCCATTATTCTGATTGGCTATCCCTTGACTCTCCAATTAAGCCTTAGTGTCTTTATTCTTGCCATGTGTTGCACTGGAAGTGGTAGACTGGAATTAATTTATTAGAATTACAGTATCTTTTCCATGGGATTATAAATGTGGATTTTTCTAGACTGCAACAAGGTCCAGAGGGGCTTTCTGTAAAGGGCTATTACAGGCTTGAGAGAGTAAATGTGGATGTGTTTTTATATAGTCAGTTTTTCTCTCCAATAATGAATAGATATAATAAAAACTAGAAAGTAAAGGAAAATCAACAGATTAACAAATACCTTAAGCAATTTCCTTGGAAAACCAGAAAAAAAAAAGTATCAATTCTTTCTACTAGACTTGGCATCTGAAATGAGGTAGGGTGAGAGATGTAGTTTTTAACAAATAGACTTTGTATTGTGCATATGCCTAACTAATTAGAAATAACATATCAGTAAAATTTAACACAGTAATTGATGAGAGAATTCATGAGCATCTCAACAGATGCCAAGTAAGTATCTCATAAAATTTAATATTTTGGTTTAAACAAAAATTTGCCTAGCAAACTAGGAAAAGAATGCCTATAATTTGACATGAGATTCCTTTCAGCTTGAAGTACAGGATAAGATGACTGGTAATACTACTCTTGCTCAACACTGAATGGAAAGTGTTTAGCTAGTATATTAAGAAACAGAAAGGAAAGACGCCTCTCATAGTGCAAACAAAAACTCCTTGGTACTTGGAGATGTTATCTGTTAAAGCATATGCAATGTCAGATTCCCAGATGGCACTGCACTGTAGTTATGCAAGACATTACCACTGCAGGAAAATAGGTAAAAGGTACTTAGGTGTTACCCACAGTCCATGGTACTAGTTGTTAAGTGATGGAACCATTAGAAGGATCAGATGGGAAATTAGAAGGTGGGGCCTTGTGGGAGGCAGTTAGGTCACTGGTGAGCACGACTGAAGGAGACGTTGGATCCTTATCCCTGAACACTCTCTCCTTTTGTTTCCCAGCTGTCAGAAGATGAACAGCCTCATTCACCCCATGCTTTTACCATAATGTACCTGGCCACAGGCCTAAAGACAACAAAGCCAAGTGATCATGGACCAAACCTCTGAAATTGTAAGCCAAGTAGGTCTTTCATCCTTTTCAATTATTTATCTCAGATAATCTGCTACAGGGAAAGGAAGTTGACTAATACAAGGGTCTTTCTGCATTTTTTCTTCCTTATAATTACACAAGAATCTACAAATACTTCAAAAGAAAAGTCAGAAAAGAGGTAAGAAAAGTCTTTATGATGAAAATTCTGTATTTATATTGCATGAAATAAAAAATCCCAGTTTATAAAAGACAAACCACATACAAGGGGTGGTAAGATTTACAATCAGTGAGATATTAATTCCCTGTAAATTAATCCAGAAATTCCACCAATACCTGATAAAAACTCAAAAGCCTTTTTGGGGGTGAGGGGTAGTAATGTTCAAATTCAATCAGCTAAACCTAAACTAGTGAAGGATAAAGAACAAGAAAGCCTAGCCAATTCTGAAGAACAAGAAATTGTGAGAGCTCACACCAGTCAAAAAATTTTTATAAAACTGTGGCATTTATGAGTAAGGCTCCAGCATGTGAAGAGACAAGAATATTAGAAGAATAGATATGCTGGAAACAGATCCTTAATAAGGGAACATGGTATATAACGGAAGTGAAATTTCCAATCAGTAGGGAAAGAATGGACTGTTCAACCAGTAATACCAGTACAATTATCATAAAGAAAAGAAAAATTAAACCGTAGAGTAGGACAAAATTTCTTAATTCCTAAAAAGACCAAGATATACGAGAAAAGACTGGTAAATTTGATTTTGGAACATGTAACCTTTTGTAAGATTAAAGAGTCGAAGACTAAAAGCCTCTCTTAAATTAGAAGCAGAAGAATATAATCCAGAAACTTCCTTGGAATATAATTTTTAAACAAAACAACAAATATTTACATATTAGTAAATATGTACATGGCAACAGGTACTTGCAGTAAAACTATAACTACATGCAAAGCAAAGACATTCACTGCTTTCAAGAGTTTATCCTGTCTGTAAACCAAGGGTAACCTTAAAGAATGGGAAAACACACACACACACACACACACACACACACACACACACACACACACGAAACTAGGAATCAAATTCAGAACCTCGCACTTGCCAGCCAGAGCCATAATGGTGAGCTATATCCCCAGTCCATTCTTTTTGAAAATATATTTGAAGACCAGTGTGATGCTGTAAACCTATAATCCTACCACTGGCCATGAGGATCACCTTGAGTTCAAGGACACCTTGGGCTACAGTGAGTTCAAAGCCAGTCTGAACTACACAGTGAGACCCTGTCTCAAAATAAATAAATAAATATATGAATAAAAAATAAAATAAATATATTTGGAATACAGATAACAAAATGTTAATGCTTTATTCAATATTTTGCTTTTAATGGTTTTATTGTGGGGTTTTTTTTGGTTTGATTCTGTTATTCCTGATAGAATGGACAACTACTGTGAAGATAACAAGATAGACTGTATTAGCTATTGTTTTCCTAGTGTCCTGTTTTGAAGTTCTGTATCAATTTTGCTGCTTTGTTTTGATTATTTATTCTGTTTAGTTTTGTTGGCTTTTACTGTCTTTAAAATAAAGAAAAAATGTTAATGCTTATTAATCTGTGTGGTGGGTATACAGGTGTCCATTATTTTCTACATATTTAAAATACATGAATTAAATAAAAATATATTCTAAAGCAAAGGTAATGTAAGAACTAAAAATACAGTACATTAGAATTGGAAAATAGGAGGGAGGGGGCATAAATGAGCGATAGTTAGGTAATTCATATTCTAGGGGTCAACAGGTATTGTGAAGAACCAAGAAACAGTAGTGTCTGCAGACTATTAATATCTACAGTTGTGAAGAACACTTACCCTGGATGTAAAACCAGAAGTAAATCAGGTGGGGGAAAACAGGAATTTTTTTTTTTTTTCATTTTAAATGTCTCTGACTATTTAAAATATTAAATTTAGAGGAGGGAAAAAAAGCCTTTTTTAGAAAAAAAGTAACTTTAATACCCAAATTCAAGGCTCTCCCATCACTACTTGATCAGGAGCGTCTTCTCTTCTCTCTGGTACTGGCTGTTTCCTGTCTTGGTTTTCTCCTTTGTAGTAGTGGACCACAGACCAACAAACTCCCAGCAATGCCTAGACCATTCCTAAAAAAATTTCTATCTGTGAAACAAATACTCACAAGAATTTCTGGGAGTTACTAACTGCTTCATTTAAAAAAAGAATACTGCTGAGGGCAGTGGCACACCTTATAAACTCAGCTATTTGGGAGGCTGAGTCACAAATTTGGGAGGGGTCACAAATTTGAGGTCAGACTGGGCAACTTAGTGAGACCCTATCTGCCTCAAAATAAAAAATGGAAAAGCCTGTGGAGGCAGCTCGAGTAGTAGAACTAGAGCATACCACAGGCTCTGTACTTGAAAACAATAACAAAGTAATACGATATAAACCAATGTATTCTTTAGCAAATACAACTACAGGAAACCAAACACAAGTCCTTCAGGTAGCAAAATCTATTTACCCTGAAACGATGTTATAGTTGAGAGCAGGATGGTTTTTGGAGACAGGAGGAACCAGAGGTTCTGGCTGCCACTCTTCAATCAATTCCTCCTTTTCCTACAGTAGCAGAGAAGGAGTTAGAATATAGCGTTGTGTTCAAGACTTTACACTAACTCCAGTGATATATAAACTATGTATTGCATTGGAAATTCATAATGAATACATTGCCAGAAATTCCCTATATAGTTGTTGTGGCTGGAAAGAAAACAGACTCTTTCTCCAGTTTTGTATACTTGCTACCCTTTCTTGCCTAAAAAACTGAAAGTGTTTTTCCATGCAGTTTCATATACAACTTGACAACTTAAGAAACTTTTATTTTTTAAACTTTTATTTCTATGATCAGGATTTATTTTGCCACTCACCATATACAACACATTCCTTGAGATGGGGTAGGTTGGAGTCTTCCAACTCAAATCTCCTTTGTGAAGGTCACCTGAGCAACTCATACAACCTTCATTTGCACAATAAAAATGTATTAACTGCTCATTTTCCTCAAACCATGTACTTGTCAGGCTGCTGTTTATTTCCAGCAAAGAACAAGAATCTAAGTATGTTACTCCTTTAAATACTCACTTTCTCTATATTTTGTCTACCCTTTATCTGATTCCACTTGATTTCCTTACATGACAGAAAACATTTTTACATAACTACATAATTGAGTCACCCTACCTTTTTAGAAAGATGTAACACTTATAATTACACATCTAATAAAAGAGATTATATTTTTTACCTTGACTGTAAGATCAGATCGTTCTTGTAATTTATAAGTTTTGGAGAAAAGAAGTCTGATTATCCACAGTATTAGAATCCCTTCTAAAATAAGATGATAAGCAGGAGCCTAAGAGTAAAACACAAAAACAAACAAATTATATAAACACTTCAACACCTACACATAAAGTTTAGCAAACCTGTACATACTGTTTCTTTATCACCTTTAATCTACTGCTTGTTACAACTTACTTCCAAAACTCCTTAATGTCTCTGTATTCCTTTTTCCAATTTTTAACAATAAGTAACACTAACATAAGAAACCTGTTACTTTAGCTTTTAAAACTTAATGAATAAAAATGTAGTCTTAAAAAATAAAATAGGGGGGCTGGGGATTTAGCTCAGCGGCATAAACGCCTGCCTTGTAAGCAGGCAGTCATGAGTTCGATCCCTGGTACCGATAAAAAGGAAAAAGACAAAATAAATAAATAAATAAATAAAATAAAATAGAGCACAGAATGCCTAGTACTTAACACAGTATCAACTATCAGATCCTTAAAGTAATTTAAATACTTACTGGTAGGTAAGTATTTAAAATATACTTACCTACCATAAAACATGCCACAGCTCAACAATCCTCCTATCATCTCTATCTACTGATAAATTAAAGAGAGTTAGGTGAAAACTAGTTTCCACAAGTCTTAAAAGTTCTGCACAATATACTACATTTTCTGTATTCCCAATAAATCTTAAATCCTTTCTGGAATATGGCAGACAGAGAAAAAAAGTTTTAAGTGATTGAAAGACTAGCAGTTCTCTTTTCTACCACTTACCCAAAAGCATAAGAATATGTTAAAATCTACTATCACAGTTCTTCAATTTCATGTTTTCAGGATAAAGGCTAGGTTGCCTTACTTGGAAAATTCCAGGTATTAACTAAACCCCCACTTAGTAATGGGTTGCTCTTCTCCAGTGGACTGTTACTGGAAAAAATTATTCTAAAAAGGCAATTCAAAATTTAAATTATTTTCAACCAATATACAAAAAGAAGTGATAAATCATTTGCCACAGTTTAAAAACAAAATAAAACAATCAAGACAGAATCTGGAAACTGGCAAACCGCCCACAAACAAATTATTAAGTCAAAGCACAAACAACTTTAAAAGTACATACACATGTTACCCACCCTCAATATTTCTCTTTGGAGCTTCCTCAATTTTATAAAAATTGCAGACACATCAGAAGTCTCTCCTTAAGATGACTTTTAAAAATTTTCTCATCCCCTTAATCACAATTCATTCATGAATAAATATACTACTTATATTTTTCTCGATAATTGGCATTTGGCAGGTAAGCATCACAGAGTAGTCTACCCCACAAGGAAATCACTCCGAAAAAGGGCGAAGAACTAGTTGAGTAAATTAATAACTTTCTTTACACCTCAAGAACTTTCCCAATTCTTTCTGTTAATCACTTCCAGGGTATAAGAAGTTACACTGTCAAAAAGACTTCAAAAAGAGAGCAAATACACAGAAAATTACTCATTTCTAAAAAAAATTGTTTCTTCAAGCGTTTCTTTTTCATTAAACTAAGTTAGCTGGCTACGAGGATAAGAGAGAGCCAAAAGTATGCCATCGTCAATATTCTTAAAAATGAATTCTGTGTGGGTATGTCTTGTAATGGAAGACACGATCATCACTCCTTCCAGTGAGCTGCAACACTGTTTCCAAAAACGTTACCAAAAGAAAAACGAAACTCACTTTAAACCAAAGTAAGCTCTATAAGCTCAAGGACTCTCGCTGGTTTGCCCGCCTAACGTCTAGATCTGTAGGACATATAATACACATACTGTGGTCACCAATCATGCTATTATTTAAATTTATATTTAAGTTTAATAGAAGTTCAGTTCCTCCTCGGTGTCTACAATCACAGGTAGTTAGTGGCCACTATCCTGAGCGGCCCTGAAGTAGCAGATGAAAGTTCTACAGGAAAGCCCAGGTTGTTAAATTAATAAACATTCTCTTACGATTGACATTTTGATTTCATATTATCTCACATATCTGGGATAGCTAGCTAGCCTTTCACAGAAACAAAAGCTCAACTATTCTCTTTAAAAGCCTATTAAAATACTTGCATCTTTTATGACAGAAAATGGGACGTACGTAGGGAAATGACAAACTATTTCATATTCCCTCGGCTTTTCTAACCCACCCTCCCCCTACCCCGACAAAAAAGTCAGGTTCCAATTTATCACTATCTTTTCACTGGTAATTTCTTCGTATTTGTGGGACTTGATTCCTCAGGCACAACTCCAGACTGAGATTCCTAAATTCTGCAACAGCCCCCGCCCCCCAAGCCAAGGGCTCCTCTCCAGAGCCAGGACCGATCTGCCGGATGAGTCTCTCCCTGCATCCTACGCTGAGGGCCGGCACCGCGACGGCCGCGGAGCCCACCCGTCAGTGCTGCTGCGGACTCAGAACACCGATTCACAGGCCCTGTCACCCCCCCTCCCCGAGCCGGCGTGCCATAGAGCCCACCTCGTAGAGCGCCTGCACCATCTCCACCAGTACCCACTGCTCCGCCGCGGCCGCCATAGTCAGCCTCCTCACTTCTTTCCGGGAGGCGGATCACGCTGTGTAAAACGGCGCTCGGCGCGGCGCAGAAAGATGACGCGTCGGGGGCGGGGCCGCTTCCTCACGTTAGCGCGCGCGTGGCCGGCGCAGGCAGGCGCTTCGGCGGCAGTGGTACGTGCGCGTTCCGGGCTGCTGAAGCTGAGAGCGCCTGGTCGCACACCGGTTCCCTTTGGCAAGCGTCCTGGTTAATGGCCCGAGCTTGGCGATTGGTGGGACGCAGACGTAAGGTGGTCACCGCACACGTCTCTGAAGTGACTAGTGCTGGGATTCATTTTTATTTTCTTGAAAAAGCAGAAATAAGTACAGAAACGCTAAACTCCGGGCAGGGAACACGCGAGAGTCCTGCCGGGGAGGCACGCGCTCTTGATGGCCTGGGGTTCCTAAAATGGTGGGGGGCTCACAAAGACCTCTCTGTGCAGCTTTTCTGTTACTTTGTTTGAGGAGCCTGCCCGGTATTTTGTATTTTTAAGGGTGGAAGTCGTTCTTGAAATTGTTATAACCTGAAACGATCCCCAGCCCCACCTCGAGTTTCAAAAAAGGGGCAAAACTTGTTTTAAAAAGCAGCGCTGATTTATTTTTACCCTGGGCCCAGCGACACAGGGCAGCTGGAGACTGCCAAAGCTGTGTGTCCCCCACCCTATACTTGCAGCCTTTATATATATCACTGTTTATAAAGTAAGGGGTTTGGGCATGGATCAGGAGATAGGCTAATGGGGAAGATCCTGTTTTCCTGGGCAGAAAACAGAGGAGTCTAGCAGCAATTAACAACTTTTTGTTACCTTATTTTAGCACCACATCTGTTATTTGTAGTGGGCAGCAATGGTTAACATATCAATTAGGTTAGGACCCCAGAGATTTACATTTTTAGAGGACAGCATTGATTAACAGATCAATTAGGTCACCCAGAGGGAGGAGGGAGAAGGGACAAGGGGAAGTGAAACATATGTGCACAACAGTTAGGGTCCTGTTTACAGATATTTTGGCATAATACAAACATAACACGATTCTTTTTCCTAGTGTACAACAGAAATGACTTGCAATTTCCATTTGATTTAAACATTTCCCTGGTGGTGAACGGTTATTTCCAATGTCTTCTCTCCTATAGACAGTGCTGCCATAAATATTTATTTTCTATGTGCTTCCACCTTTCTGTGCATTGTGAGGAGTTTAGTTTTCTTAAAGTGGAATTTTAGTCAAAAAACGTGACTAATTTTGATACTATCATAGTCTCTCCCTAAAATTTTCAACCAATTTAAAATGGCTGAAAGTGTATCCACAGTGAAGCCCTTGATAGTATTACTGGATCTTTAAAAACAGCTATTTTGTTTATTTAAGGTTTTCTTTCTTTTTTTTTTTTTTTTTGCCAATAAAAGTTTATGTTGTGTGCTGGTCTGTTCCTTTATGACTTGTGTGGGAGAACTGTAGCGAACCAGCACACCTGTGTCTGCATCAGTTTGCTGTTAGCTACTTTAGGAAATTGTATTTCTGTATGATGGGAAACATAGGCCTTAGTTACTGTTTCTAAACCAATAGCAGATTTTCCCAGTACCTTTCATTTGCTTACCCATGTCTTTCCTTGGTCACTGAAGTTGCACCCTGAGTCTGATTTTTGTGCTCAGATTTGGTGTTGTGCAGCTCACAATGCAAGTGCTGTGCTCACTTCCTTGATTTCTACTCCTACACCTGTGCACATGGGCTCCTCCAGGTGCATTCATTCTAATAGGCCTCACCTGCACTTCCCAAAAGCCTGCCTCCAGATCCCCTGCTCTCACAAGGAGTTGGAAGTGTCTGAAAATTTGTAGTATATAATAGTGTAGATTGCTCAGATATAAACATTACAGCTCCTTTGTTACACTTGTATTTGTCCAGATAGGCCACAGTGGAAAGATTCTGGTGTTAGGAGACAAACGTGTCTTTTGAGAGGCTACCTTTCAACCTACCATGGTTTCCCAAATTCATGTCCCTCTCATGCGCGAAATATATTCACCTAATCCCAACATCTCTGAAGTTCTTAGAACTCATTTAGCTATCACTTCAAAATTTCCAGAATCTCATAATCTGAATCGGATGTAGTTGAGTCTGTGGATATGAATCTTGCTGGGCAAAATTCCTTTCTATCTACTAACCCATGAAACATGAAAACAGATTATCTGCTTCCAAAACAATGATAGAGCAGGTATATGATAGACAAAAGAAAAAATGCAAAGAATTAAGATATCATATCAGTCCTAGCAAGTTAGAAATCCAGCAAGGCAGGTGGGCTGAGAATATTCTCTGATTTTAAGACGTTATATCTGGCTCCGTGGTTTCCTGGGTCTCGTGCCCATCTTGACTCAGTAGGTCTCTGATTCTTCACTTTTAGCCTTTTACTTCTGTACCTGTGACTCTGCTCTGACAGTCATTCCTCCTTTTTAAATTGGAGGGCAGTGTATGTTTACAGCTGAGTGGTCCTATGATGCCACTTAGAATTTTAAAAGCCTGACAATTGTATTTTATTTTGTCTTGTCTCAATTGTGTGAGGCTAAGCTGACAGTGTTTCTATGGAAATAATCTAAAAAACCTTGTGATTCTCTCACATATGCTATAAGATATTTATAGTTTTAGTCACAAAAGTTCCCTACAATTCTTTCCTGGATAATATATCCTTGTTAGGTCTGAGAAGAGGAGGAAGAGGGGGAAAAAGGTCCGTGGAAGGAGTGGAGTGGACGGCCGTGAAAGTAGTGGGCGGCGATGGCTGCAAAGATAAGAAATATAAAATATAAGTAACCTTTATTTTGGGAATGCGGGGAGAGACCCCTCCCCCCCGGCCCCGGGGCTCAGCATCTCCACTGCACCCGGGGCCGGTGGTCTCTCTCTGGAACACACTCTCCCTTTCTCCTTCTTCTTCTTCTTCCTCTCTTCAACACGTGGAGTGAGGCCCATAAGTAACCTCTGTCTGGGGTGGACCCCAAGGGGCATTAGGGATGCACAGGTATTTCATTGGCACACGTTTGGCGCCAGGCTTACACGGATGGGGGTATAGGGTTACAGGCAAATCTATAGGGGTGGGGGAGGCAGGAGCCCCATAACTTGGCTGAAGCTTTTCCTGGTTAAGGTGTCCGGTCTGGGCCAGCAACTCTTTCATATCCCGTCTTATGATTATTAGGAAAAGGGGCAAAGATTTCTCTCTGTAACTACTTCCTGCTGGCTGAGGGCACTGTATTGGGGTCTAGGGGAGTCGACGGGATGAAGGTTGATGCCCAGGTAGACGCTGATGTTAGGTGTTTTAGCCAGGACAACTTCACTGGTGAATGCACATATGTTAGACTGGAAAAAACAAAGAGACAAGATGTTATGAGGAGACATGGCACTGTCATATTTATGGACCCAAGTGAGGTAGAGGGAAAGGTGTCTTTGATTTAGACTTGTTATTTTTTCAGGATGATGTTGAGGTGGCAAGGCAGAATTCTGAAAAATTAAACATGGGATTAGGAGGAGTGAAGTTATGAGGGGTGTTTACTCCCCCATATGAAAGCATAAAAGTTAAAAGGTAGGTAGGTAAGGCTTGTCTCTGGTATATATGATGTTGGAGTCTTTAGGGAATCGTGTTAGAGAGTCCTGCTATAGAAATGATCATTAATAGAATGTAAGAAATCAAGAATCAAACTGGGCAAAAAAACATGACAACCTGTGAGTCATAAGGCAGAGATGAATATCAAAAGGATGGTTAGATCTAGGGCCTGAGTGATGTGAAACCAGGATGGCAGTTTAAAAGGGAATAAAAGCATTTTAGGATTTAGGACTGGGACCTGTATAAAAATGGGCCCTGTTTGTAACTGGCATAGGTTGATCTTTAATACTCCATGAGACGTTGAGGATTTATTAGCCTAGCAACTCAGTAAGAACTCTGTATATGTGGTCTCTTATGTCCACGAATATAGAGAATGTCTTACCTTGAGTTTTAATGTGATTTGGATTCTGAGACAGACATCTACCAAGGCGCTTGGCCCCTGTGACAATTTGAGGGTGAAAAGCTAGGGTGGCCAGGCCACTCTCTGGTGGCCAGGATAACCCAACAGCCGTGGAATAAGGTCTTTTGGCAGTGACCTATGAGGGCTACCAGGTAGGATGGCCAGGCCACTCTCTGGTGGCCAGGATAGCCTAAACAGCCCTGGAGTAAGGTCTCGAAGAATGCCAGGATGGGGGATTCTGTTTGATGTCTTCTGATGAATTTGAGTGAGGCCCATGGCGGGGGTGGGGGGCAGGTGCTTAACCTTGTGTAGATTTGTCTGTCTCAGAATTGTAGGTGTTATTTAAAATATGAACAACCATAGCAAGGTCTCTGTGGAGCTTGAAGGTCAAGTTTTGTCTTGTTGTTTGAGATCTGGACTATAGTAAAAGTTATCTGTAGAATTAAGTAAGTATGTAGGAGCTTAATATTGGCATTTAAGATTATAAGGCAGGCAGGTTGGTAAAATTATCAGGTGGCCAGTAATAGTGAATAAATGGTAGAAAAGTTGTAAGAAAAAATAGCCTCTCTCGAGTGGAACTGAATTGTAAAGAAAAGTTTGGGCAGGGCCGCGAGACTTTGGAAATGTGCAGTGTTAAAGGCAGCTTGAAACACTGAGATAGATAGCACCTGTAGGAAGAGAGCAGAGTTGTGTCTGGGGCGGGATGGAACATGTAGAGTGGGCGGGGCAAACGCGGGACACGGTAGGCGGGGCAGGCTGAGGTCCCACCCAGACGCCATCCGTGACACGCCAAGAGGGCGCAGGGAGCTGCGACCACGTAAGGGGGTGGGGCTTGGAGGCTTGCAGTGGTGATCAGAGGTGGCGCCTGGCGCCATGGAACTATGGTGGCCATGGTACGCGCCCGGCATGTGTCCGGTGCTGTGGGGCAGCAGTGGCAGCCTGTGTGCCCGGTGCCGCGGAGGGGCGGGCTGGCAAGGAACATGTAGAGTGGGCGGGGCGAACGCTGGCACAGTAAGCGGAGCAGCTGAGTTTTTACCCAGAGGCTTACTATGACATGCTAAGCGGCATGAAGTAGTTTCGCTGCGACCGCGTAAGGGGGTGGGGCTTGGAG